GTAGGGGAAAATATCCGTTTCATTGGAAATAAGATATTTTGTCAGAATACACATGTTGCGTGCTTTTCATTATCCCTGCATCTGCTATTTTACTCCACACCTTTCTACAGATACAAAACTCAGTTTACTCCAAAACAGAAAGGGATAAGCGGTGCATTGAAAATTTATATTTATTGGATACACATGTACTAAACACGGAAAAAAATTTCAAGTGACAACGAAGTGTTATTTGTGCAGACACAACCGCATCAACAACAAAGGATAGCATGCATCAAGATGTGCGCATAGTGCGCTTTTCACGCGATGCATTTTTTTTTTTTTTCAATAAATTGTTGCTGTTGTGTAAACAGTTGAATTATGCGAGGCAACTCAAAATGTAAAATTACGCATTGGTAGCAATTTTTTTTACAAAGACTTTTTCAAAGTGTTACAGCAAGATTCATTTGCTTTCCCCGACAATTCAGCCTAGTAATCTTGAGATCTAGAGTGGAGGAACTTCGAAAAAATCGCCTCCGAGTACGATTGGAGTTACAATTCTAAAACAAAATTTCCAGCTGTCTCTGCGCCCAGCTGTTATAGTTAAGCTCGCGACGTCAAGACCTGAACACCAAAAGCAAATCAAAAACTGAAAGTTTTAGGGCACAAATTTTTAGATAATTGAGAGACTATGTTCCAAGTTCGCCGATAGCTGACCTGTATACCTCAGATTCAAATTTAAGTTGTCTTTGAAATTTCAAAATGAACATACAGCAATCCCGAAATTCCGGGGTTTAAGTTTATCAAATGATGAGTTAATTTTTTGACATTCCCAGCACAGGAAGTTTAAATGGCTCGGATTCCTACTGTAATGATTTTCATCAAAAAAGAAGAACAGAAAGAAAAACTCGTTTTGACAAGAAACATTCGGAGCACATGAAAACTGATGTAAGGGTTTTCTTTTTCTTGTTTAAATAGTCTCATTTTTCAGAACTTAAGCTAATTTTCACACAGGTCAAGCTTTCACAATGTCGGACTATCCTTAAATAGCAACAACAAACTGCAAGCAGTTCTCATGCGGTCTTCTGCAAAAGTTTAATGAATTACAGAATTAACTGTTCTGTAACCAGTAACAAGGAGGCCCAGATTACAAAGAAGCAGAGAAGCAACGCCTATAACAGCGTATCTTTTCCTCGCTCAGGAAAAGCCAAAGGTTTCTATGAAGTTTTTCTTTTGGATATGGCAGTTGAAGACAAATATCCTCCTTGTTTTGTTCGGCTTTTAAAAAATTTCAAAGTTTTATCTAAGTTTCTACACCGATGATTCTCTTGCTTTCAAATTATCTGGCCAATACGGATTGACAAAATTAAAATTCCTGAATTCATCGCCTTTCAAGTTCAATAAAACGCCCACATCACAAGGGCTTAAACTGATAGATAGCTTCCTGAACTGTAGGTCGAAATTTTCAGTCGAATCCGGCCTTCTCTGCAATTGCAACATCATGATATTTACCGAATTTGTCATGCAAAGTATCAGTTGATGCATATCGATCGGTGCATACGTTGCCTACGTCAAGCTCATTAAAACAGCGGAGCGAGCCGAAGAACCGGAATGATGCTTTTTGCACTAAAAAAAAACCACAAAAGAGAAGTCAAGGAGAATTGCAAAAATTAGCCATAAATGTAAAATTTAGCAAAAATCAGCTAAACATTGAAAGAGGGCGAGATAACTGCGTCAAAAAACAAAAAAACTTGTTCAAAACGCCATATTTAGACAAGTGGAGATGAAAATACAGAAGACTTTTTTGGCCTTTTAATCAGACGCCAATGTATGCCAGTTGTTCCCTGAATTTATACAGGGATCTACCAGCCCAGTTCGCGAATGAACAATATTGGGAAAGTATTTTCTTTCTTTTTTTAAAGCCTGCTTTAAATTTAGGTGTTAACACTCTTTTCTGTGTCCAACGATTGAAGAACAAAAAAAAAGGAAACAAAAGCAAAAAACTTAAATCCGGAATGCGCCTTCACCCATTCAATGTGGAAAAAGGTAACCCCGAGAAAAAAAAAAAAAAACCCTTTCTAAACTAAATGATCGGACCATGCCTAGTTGCAACTAAACATCATGCACAAAATTCCATGCTGTATGACTGTATTCCACAAACATCCAACACCAACTACGATTACACCGCATCACTGCACCGATGCATGTAAGTATGCGTGCATGGATGTGCATGCTTATGAAAAGTTCAAAAATTCGACATTTTCAATGGAGCTAAAAAACACTGCCGAATTTTTACCAGAGGAACATCTCAGTTTTGTGCAGCATACGTTTTTGGCTCGGCTAACTCAAAAATGCACATTTAGCAAGGGAACGCTGTGACCGTTTTCTTACAAAAATTTTCTGCCTAAGACACAAAACGAGAGAGGCTAAAACCTGGTAGTGTAACACTGGGCAACGCATTTAAAACTTTCATCCTAGCTCCTGCATCCTGGATTTAAATGTCGCGTTTTGTCCCGTAAGTGAGGCAAGGTTTCAATTCTTTCATCCAACAATCCTTATTTACAGGAATAAACAATATAGGAGGCACAAAGTAAGCTTATTTTGATCCTGTCTGCAAATTTGATTATTGTTTGTTCAGGGCTCTGTCCAAGATCCAGTGAAATAAAAAATGCTGAGCTATTGAAGAGCCATGAACTGAGCTCCAAAAACCATACTTTGCCTAGCTATGGTCGAAAATGTGTGCTAAACAACCGAAACATTCATTTGCACACACAAATACGGATAGATCAGATCTCGTCAATATAATTTTTCAGATTTGCAAAAATGCAAATACACATAAAAATTAAAAAAAATGGAGCATCTTGTTAGGCACGTTTCCACAGCTCCTGCTTTTTTTTTTACTTTTCTCTACTGCTTTGCTTAGATTTGATATTTTGTGCTGATTTGATATTGCTTATTCAGGGCTCTGTCCAAGATCCAGTGAAATAAAAAATGCTGAGCTATTAAAGAGCCATGAACTTGATTTGATATTTTGTGCTCCTCTATAAGTTACAAATAACTAACCAATTTTGGTTTAAAAGGTGGCTGCACTTGTCGCTTTTCTATTTTATACCAGTCGATTCGCCGGAAGAACGGATGCTCCTGAAAATATTAACTCATCCTGGCCATGCCCGTAAGAATCACCAAAGCACTGTTCACGACGTAACATAGGCGCATTGCACGAAATCCCTTTCGACGTATACCGCATTTCGCCTTGTGTTTTTAAGAACTGGAGAAACGATGCTGTTTACAGAAATCCGTGACACATTTCCGCGATATACAAGCAAATTATGTACAGTTTGAAACCCTCGCTTTCAAGGCAAGCAATTCTACGCTTTCCTAGCCAGTTTTGAAACGCGGATCTTCATCTTACTCTACCGGGCAGTTCTTCAAAGAAAATTACTAGCAGCTTTCTCAGTATGCAGTTACTGGTATTCAGTCACTGGTCATTGCAGACAGAAAGGGGAACTCAAGCGTTTTGGAACATTGAAATGCAGAAACAGAAACATGACCACTAAAGACTTCAAAATAAGGCTAGGACGATACGACAAAAATTTGGCTTATATTTGTTTTCTATGCTAGCTCTATAAGTTCCAGCATCGGCGGAAGAATTTTTTGCATTAAAACTCGTACCTTAATATCTCTGGTGGGCGTTTGCGAGCAACCTAACCGCTTCTGAGGACTTTTCTGCAGCAGCGCTTTGCAAATGGATACTGCTTCTTTCGACATAGATTTCGGATACGAAACGCTATGCTCCGTTATTGCTGAAAGTAAAAGCATTTAAGCACTACCAAAACTAGCTTTTTGCAGGAAATCCGCTGAATTACGGTAATTCGTGGGCATCTTTGAAATGAATAAACGGATTTATTTAAACTAATAATCTTAGCCGTCACGCCTTTTCACTTCAGCAAGTAAAATTTGCTCTATTTCATTTCCTCTTTTCGTGATCTCACCACGATCCATTCATTCATTCATTGCATCAAAACTCAAAATGCATGTGAACTGTCTCTTGGGGGTTGAGCAAGACAAAATCGAAATGATCACCGGTGAATAACTCGTCTTCATCTTCACCGTCGAACGGTGGCTGGCCGGCTAGCATTTCAAATAGCAATACCCCAAACGCCCACCAGTCCACTGATTTACCATATGGCTGATATAGTATAATCTAAAACATTCAAAGCATTCCAGTACGTTCTCTTGCCGCTGTTGCTGCACACAAAAAATTTGCTCACCGAAATTACCAACAATCGTCAGATTTCAGTGCAAAATTTCCGAAACAACATAGAATTTAAATAATTCATCGTAACAACGGTAATTATTGCTGTTGTTTTTGCTTATTAATCAAAATTTAAAGTAATGATATTGCCAATTTTACAGGCAACAAAACCTGGAAAAAAATAGTAGGGCGATGAAGAAACGAATGGCGCTACGAAGAGGTGCACTTTTCACAATTTTAGAATGGGCGCACTAACAGTTGTAGGTTTTGTTTGCTAATTAATAGTTTAAAAAAAAAAA